TTCGCCATAAAATTTTGAAACAAAAACAAAACAGAACAAATTATAGATTTATATGTAGACAAATCCCTCCTACAAAATAAAAAAAAAAGGTATAGCTCTCTACCTATATTTTAAGTGATATAATTAAATAAATGATGATATCATTAATAAATCATGTTGATACTCATTTGTTCTTTGAACATTCTAAGAATCAAAATCTTTATAGTGTTTATATTTTTTTCCAATTAAGTGAGTATTTGGGTATAAGCTAAATGTAAACTCGCATGAACCATAAGGTTTAAGGCTTGCATATTGCTATAAAAAATTTGTTGCTTAGGGCTCACCCAAATATTTTTAAAATTCTTAATGCTTGAATCCTCAATCTAAAAAGGGGGAATAAAATGTTTTAAACAACCACAGGCGGGAATTCTCGTAAAAAACACCATAGAAATATAACGATGGATGACAAAATCAAAGACATAACAATTTTATGCAAATAATAGCTAACCACAATTAATTTTGTAAGCAAATTATTAAATTTATTATAAACCAGATAAATTTTGCCATTTTTTTTTTACTATAATTATAAATTATATTTATATTATATAAATTTTTTTTCTAAATAAAATGTTATAATTGTATCTGAATTTTAAAAGATTTTCTAAATGTTGTTATAATGGTCAACATGCCTAATTATGTTTTTAAAAAAAATGTTATTTATCAATATAGATTATATAAGTTCACATTGGATTGGATACAGCCAAAACCTCTTAATTTGATAAAGCTAAACAGATGCTTATGGCTACTCCTTAGCGCTAAGATCTCTGTTTAATTCTACCTAATTTGGGCTTAGTGCTTAATCAAATATTGTTTCTAATAATCTAGTAGAGACCAATATCTCTAATAAAATTTTTCAGCTAATCATAAGTGCTGTATATGAGATTGTTTTCATAAAGAAATTATATAGGTCAGGGTCGAACTCTAAATATAATTAAAAAACTTATTTTGTCCAAACTTTAGCTCCTAGCCCACATATCGTTATTATGGCTACTCCACAGCCTTACTTTTATTTTACCAAATGAAAAGTCCACGTCTAATTATTTAAAATGCATTTTATCATTAATATCTATCTACCCTAATCATTTATTATAGAAATTAGTCTGCTATTCATGCCTTAGACATCTTAGCAACAAATATATTAATAAATACCATTTTTTTTAAACGTTTTTATTTAGAGTAGTCAATAAATATTAAGAAAAATTAGGCCCTCAATAATATTAAAAAAATTTCTTGATAATAAATAAAATAATAGTTCTAAAAATGGATAAGATACATTAAATATTTAAAAAATAGTTTTATAAGTTATGTTTACAAAATATATAAATTTCACTCATAATTATTTATAATTCTTACAATGGAAAGAAAATGAACCTAAGATTTGTTGTCATGGATTTTATTACTAATTTATTCATTTTGAAAGAGAGGAAATATTGTTGTTCCTTTTACTCCGATTTTTCGAGATATTCTTATATAAATGACACGCAATTCGAGATATTTAGGTTCCAAGATTCTTTTGTTTTATGATACTTCCCTTCTTATGAAAATCTTGAACTGTGTCTCAAGAATAATCTCATCGAATAAAATTTCAATTGGGAAAAAATATTTATCAGAAAATTAAGGCTTGTTTGATTATATAAATAATTCCTTCTATATAAATAAGCTAAATTTAAATTTAAAAAAAAATAGGTTCAAGCCTGGCCCAAGCACATTAAAAAAATTCTAAAACCCAGGGGCCTAGGTCCTCTAGAAAATATAATGGCGCGGCTTATGAGTCTATGAGCCGCGGACCAGCCCGTCTCATGAAAGTCTCTGGACAACTTCTTTGCATTTGGCATAATACCAAATAATTAGGGATTGTCGATTCCCCTTTATGGATTTTTATTATAAATCGAATATATAATTAAAAATAATCGTATATGTAAATAGTCGTAATGATGTAAATATAGTAATTAAGAAGCCCAAGGAATAAAGAAAAATTAATATCGGGTGCCATCAGATACAATTTAACAGCTGATAAAGTCTATAAATTTTTTAAATGATATCTAGTCCTAGTTCGACTATATTAGTTACGAATTTAGTGAACTAATTTATTCGTATATACAAGAAATGAAACCGAAATTTACATAGCACATAGTGTGGAATAACATAGTTTCGAAATTTATTTCACGAAAATAAGTTACTAATTATGGTTATATTAGGCTTAGAAAACTTTACTGTGAAATATAATCCTTCATAGATCTAAATCGGATCCAATCTGAAATTTTATTTAAGATATGGGTCCCAATCCCATCACATCGAGTTTTTTTTATTAAACTGTTGATAAAGGTTACGACATTTAAACTAAAGTGAAAGAAATTCTAAAGAAAGATAAAAAATAATTTGTGCTGTTTCTGAAAAGAATTTTCATGGAAACAAAACAATGAAATTTTGTCGAGTCCTGATTCATCGAGTCAATTTTTTTATTCAGGACTCTGTTATAAACAAAAAAAAATTATATACTCCACCCCCATTAATTTTTTAGAAATCTTGGCTATTTCTACTCATAGTAAAATATTACATACTAGTAATCAAATATATTATGACTGTATATTATTTCAAATAATCGCATAAAAATATTTCAAAATAAATATATATAAAATAATATATATTAAAAATTATTGAAAATAAACCAGATATACCATAAAAAATAGAAAAAATTATTTATTAACCACAATAAAAAAATAAGATATTTAAAACTAAAAAAATTCATGGATATAGGTTTGATCTGCATATTTTTACTTTATAAAAGATTTTTTACAAAAATTTGAATTTTATTTATATCGGGACAGATTGGATGCTACAAATTTATAATATAAGAATATATTAGCAATATAATTTATGTCTGAAATTTGTTTTTTTGAGGTTAAATTCATGAATAAAAAATATGATATATATGCACCTTTGAACTTACATTTTATTTTAATTGTCATTTAAATTTTATAATTTAATTTTCTGAGCCAATTACTTCTTGATTTTAATCAGGAATAGGTAATAATGGTATATTTTTGTTCCCCATTTTCAAAAATTAAAAATCTTTCGTTCTCTTTCCATTCTAATTATTTGATTTAAAATGCTTCCTTCCGCGCTAATTATTGTTCAATGCTCAAGTTATTTAGTCAAGAGTGGTTTTGGAAGTTATCTTGTCCTCTTCTTATTTTATGAAATTTATTCCTAAATATCTAGTTGTATTATATTTCATTTTTTAGAATTTGTTGTTATAATAGCGAAATAAAAAAATTTAAATAGGATGATCTGATTTTAATTCCCCCTTAATTTTTACAAGACGTGGCACATATAAAAAAATTAGTACTATTGAAATTTGTGATAAGATAAGATATATATAAAATTCATTGATGACGAATATTGTATTGATTATTAACTATAAAACAATATTAATATTTTTTGAAAGGTTATAATATTTAATTTATCATAAATTAAATGAAAGCCAACTAGACTACCAATTCACATCACACCATCTGAAAAAAATTTCAAATAAGTCGACTATATTAATATAAAATATCTTTGTAGACAAAACAATTCAGACATTTTCTGGGACCAAGTTTAGCAGATATAATTAGAAACTAGACTATATTTGTTTCTAAATTCTAATTAAATTAAACCGAGCCCTTATTTATTAAAAAAATCTGGATATTGGAGCAATGTGAACCATTCTTAATAACCTTCACTAATTTTATATACTAATTTTTAACCATTTGCATATATGCTTTTCCATGATAATTAACAAATTTTAAAGAAAGTTAGACTCAGATGAAATTTAAGGTTGGTCCCTTCCACCTCTGTCAAAGCATTAAAGGATTGATATAGCAAAGGGGCATTTATATACACTTATTAAGCTAATACTACATTAAAAAGTTACACCACCTTCCTAATTCACTTAATATTTCTTCTTCTAGAGATTTTTTGGTAAAAAAAAGAAAATTCATATTATCATATTAATTACATATACAAGTCACAACTATTATAAATGGAAAATTCAAATAAAAAGCATAATAAGAAGGAAATTCAAATAAAAATTAGCCTAACCATACCTCCAGCTTCTAGATGAGCGGGGTAGGTAGGAACAGTTTGCTTCCAATTTTTTTGAGGGAGGGGGAGGTGGTAGGGATTTAAGGGGAGTAAGCTAGAAACTAAATTTATTGGGGGTTTTTCTATTAAATTTTTAAATGAAATATGGCAAAATATATTGCTTTAAAATATTATTTACATATTTATTATAGACCTATTATAATAATACATTGATATTGCTAAAAATAACATAATTTATCTATTGTATACAGTCATAGCCAATATTTTTCAAATAAAACTTACTTAAAGATAATTTTCTGCTATCTTTCAAATGTAATCTTAAAGGATTTGGAATTCTATCACCAAGCTCATATTCATGCTAATATGCCAAACAATGCACTATAATAATGCATTGCATTCATTGTAAATGTTTTTAATATTTCATGTTCTAAATAATACTTTTACATTTACTTTTTTTATAGTTAGTAATAGAGCATTGATATTTTATAATACATGAAGGGAGTGCCATTGTAATTAAAAACGCGTAATTCAAAATAAAATTTTTAGGGCAGGGGGGTAGATACCGGTTTGATATTTGCATCCTGTGAATATCCTATCATGTAGACAATGCATACCTCCTACCAGTGCCATATTAAGTGGCTCATTTTGAGGATTCAACAGAGAAAAAATATTTTTAGCTATTTTAGATTTAGATATGCTTTTTTTGTTGCTAATTTTACATTAGATCCTTTTCTGTTTTTTTACAGGTCCAAAAATGAAATGCTATCACCACTCCTTATTACACCCTCCCATATATTTCCTCTCCCTTTCACCCCCATTTCAATTACTCTTTCCTTACAATAATAGTGAGGGAACTCCAGCTCTAACTAGAATTATTATAAGACTATATCTATATAAAAACAAAATTTTTACCTGCATGGTTTAGCACACCTTCCTCTCTAGATCTATAAATATTCCATTCGTTCACTCCGTTTATCCTCAAGTTAAAGTATGAATCATGCATTTTAAAATTCTTTTCGATACTTGTAGTAGGTAAATTTAATTCGACATTTTAAATTTCATTGAAATTCTTAAAATCTTAGTAAAATTTTTTATTTTAATATATAATATGTTGATATATTTATTTATATTAATACTTGGAAAATATAGAGCAAAATATTGCAATTTCAATTTGTTTCATTTTTATATTTAATTTATTTCTAAATTATTTTTAATGGTTATCTTATTAAAGTATTAATATTACTATTATGATAAATGGAAATATATAAACTTTTTTGATATTGAGTATTCGATTGAAAATTATTTAAATAGATCAGTATAATGAAATAATTTTCTAAATTAGCTATTTATTTTATGCTATTATAAATTAAAATACTTAATTCTATTTTTAGTAGATATTACATTTTTAATTACCTTATATTGTAATTTTAATAGAACCTTGTCATAAAATGGCACAAAGCAACAAAGATTCTAATAATTGTGTTCAATCAAAACCAAAAGCCTTGATATTGTTAGCAGATGGAGCAGAAGAAATGGAGGTTGTAATAACAGCAGATGTGTTAAGACGTGGTGGCATTGATGTAACATTGGCCTCCTTTTTTGAGAGTTCTTTTGAGAAAGGTGAAAATGAAAATCCTAACAACCGACCTATAATTTGTAGTAGGGATGTAAGAATCATGCCAGATAAATCATTGCAAGAAGCCATGATGCAGCATAATGAGTCTAATGAACCAGGTCAATCAAAAGCTGCTTCCTATGACATTATTGTGATTCCAGGAGGTATGCAAGGTGCTAAGACATTGGCGGGTAGTATGAAAATTGGTCAAATTCTTAAACGTCAAGAAGCTGAAGCTTTAGGCTTACTAAATAATCCAAACATAATAGATAAAGATCCTACAATAGATCATGTACATCAACAAAAAGAAAATGATAAAGGAGAAATTGGACGTAATAAATATCTGGCAGCTATTTGTGCTGGTCCTTTGGCATTTTTGGCTCATGGGATAGGTAGGGGTAGAAGAATAACCTCACACCCTTCTGTTAAAGACCGATTTACTTCTGCTTCAGATCTCTACACATATATTGACAATGAGGATGTAGTTGTTGATGGGCCTTTTATAACTTCCAGAGGTCCTGGTACCACTTTTAGCTTTGCCTTAACTATTGTAAAAGAATTACAAAGTAAAAAAGTAGCGGATTCTATTATTGAACCAATGATGCTAAAACAAAAGTCTTAATAATTTTTATTATAGTTTTTTTTAAAATTAAAATGTCTAATCAATTATATTTTTATATGAACAAAATTGATTCGTGTATCTTGTATTTAATTTTCATTTTTAGTGCATCAGCAGAAGAATTACTGTAAATTATAAACAATTCGTTTTTTTAAATAATTTATATGGTTATAATTTTATGATTTTTAGTTTGATTTATAATATAGGTAAAATATTTACACCTAATATTCTCGTTTATTATTATAAGATTCTAACTCACTTACCTTAGAAAAACAAGTGAACAAATTGGCAAAATATAATTTTTTAAAAATACAGAATATTTTCTAGAGGTCAGAATGTCTCCCAAAATTTTTTTTTAGGTTCTATGAAATTTCAGCTTGCAACGTTTTGAACGAATAGCTGAGGGAACTGAAATATGTTTAATTTTAAGAGAACTACAAGTTAAATGCCTATATATAGGTTATTAAAAAAGCATTTTATTATAATTTTTGAGATTCTTTTCTAATCTATAAAGATAAATATGATACCCTAATAAGAAAACAATTCTCATTCAATGCCAATTTTGACCAAAAGTAGAGTTAGAACCCTATAATAATCAAACGACTAACATTTGTATTGGAAAATATGCATTTAAAAAAGCATTGAACCATAACAGATATACGGTTCAAATTAAGATAAATATAATGGTTCGAGTTTGGTTTATAAAAAGTTATAGTATAAATTTAATTTAAACCCCTCGAAAGACATTTTTTAAAAAAAATTTCACTAAAATCCATAATAAACAGGGATCCCAAGTGTATCGAGTATTGGCTCGGGTTCAAGTAAAAATAACGATTCAATACCAGTTCGTATAAATTATTATATTGGTACCATTTGAACCAGAGATGGGCTGGGACTTGATTTTTTATTTACCACCCATCCACTCACGTTAACATTTAAAAAAAAATTACATTCATTCACGCCTGATGTTTAATTATTTTCGACTTGCCTAATCACAAAAGGCAAGAATTTTATCAACCCGAAAAATTCACGAATTATTTTTATAAATATTTTATTTTCGCTTTATTTTATTTCCGTAATTTTATATGAAATAAAACGTCTAAAATACGCACAAATCGAATTTTTTAAACGCTGCGTTGCAAACGCAAATTATTCATTTCAAGTGGTGTTGTATAAATTGCTTAGGTTACCTTTTGACGATAAGAAAACGCAAACTGGTTTGTCTTTTCATTACCTTTTTCATTTTTTTACAAATCTACATACTCCATTTTTTTTTAAATTAAGCCTCAATTCACACTATTATACATCTTTGTAATAATTAAGAATTCACTAATCGAGTCACATTTATAAATTAAAATCTTTATTTAAAAAATTCCAATATTTTGTTTTTTTCCAGTAAACGATTATTGTGTATAGAAATTAATTCACTGGAAATCGAACTAGCTGAGACATAGCCAGGATTTAGGAGGCGGGGAACTCATAGATTTTATTTGGAGGTCTTTTCTTTATACATTTATTAACTTTGGGATTTCACTTTTTCTAAAAGAATTATAAATTCATTTTTCTGAAATATTATTAATTGTTTATAGTGATATATTGCATACATCTGGTTAGTGCTGGATGGGTGGAGATTTATTAGCTTAAAATGATATTCACAAAAACAGACGAATTCCCCTCCCCCGCTAAGATTATGGGCTTGGGGTAACAAATTTTAACTGACTATTTTTTTTTATATATTCAAAATTCAAGAGATTAAACTTTTTATAAAAATCAAATGTGCCCTAATTCACGCAAATTATCTAATCACACAAGGTAACTCTTTCACCCGTCACGCCCAATCACTCGGGATTAACACACTCACAGCGTGACCCGATGGGTCACGATGATTTTAACGGCTCACGCCCACCTTTGATTTGAACCTTTAAACCTTGTCTTACAAACTTATTAGATTTATATATAAAAGCACCTTTAATCCCTAAAATTCATACATAAAACAACTAACGTGCATTAATTATGGCACATATAAATAAAAATTATTTTTTTATTTAAATTATAACTAATAATATTTATAAAGTTAAGTAATAAATTTTAATAGTTAACATTTCTTCTGTACGCTAATTTGGGTAGCTGCACTGCAATTAGTAATATATTAAAAATTATCTAAAATTGGTCTGATACATATCAATCAAATAATAATCTCTAATACGTTTATGTCAAACTGGTTCATATACCTTTTAACTGTCCAGGTTACAGAATTTTTAATGGTTCAGGCTTGGTAAATAATAATGGTTAATGCTAGTTTAACGCTTCAGACTCAGTTTGGATCCCTATAAAACAATATGTCCATTTATCTAAGTACAACTCAATGATCTGTAGATTGGCAATTTATGCGTTAAGTTCATTTAAAAGTGTACATAGGAGTCGGCTGTAGCGCCATTTTATGGTTTGCACGTCGATTAAATAACATTGATCGTTAAGACAATTCGTTAGCGTTCAAATCACAAAATTGCGATAAAGCTAACTCCTATGTATTCACACTTTTAATGAATCACCAATTTAGCAGTATACATATTACATCATTGGTACAACTAGATAATTTTAATTTTCCATTAAATAAAGTTATTTTTATAAAGTTTTCAAATTAAATTATATTTCTTGGGCACGGGGTTTAAAACGCTAAAAATTATTTCTAAAATTATGGTATAATTAGATATTGATTTGGCAAAATTATTTTTCATTGTTCATTTAATCTAAATATTTTTTTTAAATAAAAAAATGTGTAACTTTTCAAAAAAGTATTGATTGCTTTTTTTTATATAATGTGTATTTTATTCTCAATCACATGTGTAGACTAATCAATTTCAAGAATGATTTTATAATTTTTTAAAAAAATAAATAGCTATTTGTTTGAGGTTAAAAATTTTGATCTACTAGTTTTGAATCGATTGTAGTAATTTTATTAGCATGACTAATTTAAATTTATAAATTAATCGGTGGAAATAAAACTAATAATTTTAGCAAAAAAATATCTTATCTGCCAATTAAATATTTTAAAAAATCTCTTCCTTAAGTAGCTTGTGCCCTCTTGGAAAAATTATGATTATTGACATTTAACTTTAAAATCGGTGGAGAGGAGGCGAGCCAAAATTTCTTATCTTGAAAGTATATTTCCCATATTTTTCTTATTCATTTTAAACAAATAAATTACTTGAAATCATTACCTAAAAACAATTTATTATTTCATTTCATATTCAAATATAAGATAAATATATAATCTTCTCTTTACCGCCGAACATTTTATGTTATGAACACCATAAATTACATATATCATGATTTATAATTATGCACCAAATAAAATTAATAACTTAATTGCAAATTTAAATAAAAATTCGTTAAAATAATTGAAAACACCATCTAGCCGGGGAAATATTGCAATTTTGGAAAAAAATTTGATTTAATAAAAGTGTTTGAAAGCTAAAATATATTTAAAATTATTTTTTTATATTTGCCCAAGCATTTATGTTAATTATGTAATATAATAAAATTTCAATTAATATTTTAGAAATAGGAATATCTACTGAAATATATTTAAAATGATAACTTACAAACAGAGAATTTTTTTATTATATAAAATAGTCAGAGATCCAAACCGAAACGAATATTGGTTCAGGTTCGGATAAAATAACGGTTCAGGTTCGGTTCGCAAAAAATAAAAATATCGGTTTGGTTTGAACACTTGTATTCAAACCTACATTAGGATTATGTATAAGGAAATTTTTTATTTATTTTATAATTAAAATAAAAACCTTAATATTTATTAATTGCACATAATAAAATAATATTTAATTTATAAATATATCAATGATTAATTTTAATAAGAACAATTACTTAAAATTTTTTTATTAAGCCGCACAATTAATATATTTTCAAAATTCGTCTAACTCAAATAACATCTATAAGGAGATAATATAAATTAAATTGTTGAAAAACATCCAAACTAACTTGGGTAGCTGGCATTGCCAGTATGATATAAGATTTGATGTGTCATTTATAATAATATACGTAAATAATTATATATTAGATTTAATTTTTTTCTAGGCATTATAATTTATAAACCTAAAATATTTAAAAAATGTTGTAATATGGCAATATACTAATGTTTATAAAATTATGACTGACATGATTCACATTATTTTATAAGCATAAAATTATGAGACTCGAACCGGTTCAGAGGCAATTTAGCGGTTCGGTTCAGCTTCGGCTAGAAATTTTTTTAGATGTTTAGGTTCGATAAAAAGTACCGGTTTTTAGCGGTTTAACGGTTCAGTTTGGATCCCTGAAAATAGTCATATTACAAATCCCTACTCGTTTATAAGATAAGTTTATCATTTTTATAAAATGTATTTTGTTTTTATTTAATTAATTTTTTTTAATTAAAATAAAAACTTTTATATTTCATGGAATAATCTTACATTTAAAATTATATTCATTATTAATATTACATTATTCACGATTTGAAATTGACTTTTTGGTTTTAAAATAAAAAATATTTACTCGAAATTATCTAATTGTATATTAATCCGTAACGTCAATATAGCTTTCGCGAATTACATTAGCGCGAATATATTATATTCGAATACATTACAGCGAATGCATTCGTTATTGTATTTATCGCAATAATAATATTACCAATGCATTATCGCTAATGTAATATAACAAAGGATAAATATCAGAGTTAAAAGATATTTTTTAATAGATATAGAAACATCGTCTAAAAATAGATCTATATACAGATATATTATCTAAAAACTTATCTAGATATAGATACAATTTTTATTATACTATACAGAGTTCGTGGTTGTTCTCGAATAGAAGCTCTTATTATGAGAGCAAAAAATATGTAAACAATATTTTAATATTTTATTCTCATTCAATTCGAACACTATAAAATAATAATAATAAAATGTCAATATTTTTATCGTTCTTTCGAACAAATTCTCATTAAAACGATTTATCTAAAAAAAATTTACAAAACATATAATTTATAAGTCGGAGGAATATTTATTATTTTATAAAATTCTAAATAAATTCATTTGCTTAAAATACTTTTGTGCATCAATTATTATTTTTTATAATTAATAGGCGTCATCGCTAAGCTAGGATTTTTTTATATTCCT